TCCTGCCGTTTCCGCCACCCCCTGAAATCTGAGAACCTTGTTAGCTTTTTCCATTTGTAGATTTAACAATCTCCTTTCTTGAAGATCTTGTCTTTGTTCCAACAGGCCAACCTTCTTTTTCACCTTTTTGGTGTCATGCATTGTCTCTTTAAGTTTTTCATCTGTTTGGATCGACTTTTTCACCAGCTCGGCAATTTGCTGTTGTTGCTTTGCCAAACTCTGGTTGGATGCAGTCATTTGTTGGTTAATACTATCGAGTCTTTTGTTAATGGGCCGGAGCAGCTCTGATAACATGGAGAACACGTCTCCTTCCTCAATCCTCGGACTTTGACCGCCCCGCCCAACTTGTCTCGCTGCTTTTCCTCTCGTGCCGGCCATTTTCAACTTTGTTTACACTAAGGAACTACTTTTCGCCCTTTTTCAAACAGCGCAAATTTATCCGCAAAACAGCTAAGTCTTTGGCACACTTTAACGCTCTTCTTTTCTCCTCCCCCCCTTTCTCTCTGTGTCTCAGTTCAGTTTGTTTACGTCTGGGATTCTCTCCCGACGTCGCTTCTGCTGGGGGGGGGAGCTAACTTTTAGGACTTTTTCGCTCGGTTTTTTCTCCGATTCATTGACGGTCTACTCACAGATCCCTTGTAGTTATGCTCATTCGTTGACCTTCTTGCTTGTCCCGGCTGGCATCAGCTATGCTCGGTAAAAACCGAGCCTCACAGGGGGTGGACCGATTGGGGCAAAAAGGAGCGCCTCAATTCTCCGGCTTCCGCCATCGAAGAGGTCGCCCCCCCAGCGCCCCTTTAACTAAGGCTCACCTGGGGGTGCCACTTGAGGTGGCACTCCTCCAACACCCCTGGAGCGCGGATTGCCTCCCCAGCTTCAGGGGAGAGCAGCCGCCATCGCTGAGCCGCAGACCGGAAGTCAGTCAAGGGCAATTCTTTACAATCAGGAAAAAGGATTTATACCATTTATTTTAATAGATGCATGGAAGGGAATAAATATGAAATGAAAGATAACAATCGGTATATGAAACGTAAGAGGAGAATAAACACTGGCTAGGAATATTCTTTACCTGAGGGATATAATTCCTTCTTTCCTGACATGCAGCATGAAACCAAGCCAGGCTAAAGAAAGCATGGGCTCGAGTTACAGTGCCCTTTTTGCTGATTTGCTCTGGAGTCCAAGATTCATATGTTCGCATTAAGTTCTTTTTCAGTCCCGGAGGTGCCTGTGGGAGAAGAGAAAGCCTTGGTATAAGAATATTATGTGTTGTTCTACACATCATTTTCTTTGGTAAGGACACAACTTCATTACGTGTTAGTGATCTTACCTCGTACGTTATCTTCAGACTTGACTGCAGCAAAATGGGAGAAAACTTAGGATGGACTTCGGCAGTCAGCCAAAGACGAAAACCAGGCTGGGGCTGAAGACTGTTCAATTCCTGTTGTAAAAATAAAATATATTATTTATTTATGAAATTAAATTTCTCAACCGCCCTCCCTGGTGAAAAAAGTCTCAGGGTGGTGGACAATACAGATATTTTAAAAACCAATAAAACAAATGAAAGGTTACATAAGGCAATAAAAACATAATAATCTGATTGATTGCTTACAGATGGCACTAAAATCCTAGCCGCGCCGCTATCTTGTGGGAAACGGGCGGGGGGTGGAAAGTGGAAGTGCCAAGACTGAACCATCACTGTCCTCAGTCAAATGCATGGTGGAACATCTCTGCCTTGCATGCCCTGTGGAACTATAAAATGTCCCACAGGGCACATATGTTATTTGACAGAGAGTTCCACCAGGTTGGAGCCAGGGCAGAGAAGGCTAACAATGGCACAAAGCTCAGCTAACAGGCTTCAGTTGGAGCAATCACTGGGCTCTCTGCATGATCCTAAAAGGAAGGGGGCCCTTAAGGGGCCCTAGGGACGAGGAACCTGACAACCAACTTCAAGGGTGGCATGTTGACCATACCCCCAAGAGGCTGGTAGTGGGCAGGAACAGTGGCCTCTGCTGCTTCTGGCCCTTGGTTAAGCTCTCTTTCCTTGGTTAAATCCAAGAGACAGGTTGGGAGGCTGGGTAGGTTCATCATCTGTGGTCAGGCAGTCACCTGCACCCACTTAACTACTTGGTTACCCCCCAAAAGATGGGTAGAGGAAGAAGATTCACTGTTGGCAGTCAGGCTGTCAGCTGCACTCACTGTCCCCAGCACCAAGACCAAAGGAACCTGTCATCAATAAAGGTGTGGCCTGATTTTCCCTCAGTCCAATGTTTGGTGTAGCGGTTAAGTGCACGGACTCTAATCTGGGAGAACCGGGTTTGATTCCCCACTCCTCCACTTGCACCTGGCTGGATGACCTTGGGCAAGCCATAACTCTGGCACAGTTGTTCTTGAAAAAGAGCAGTTCCTGTCAAGAGTTCTCTCAGCCCCACCTACCTCCCAGGGTGTCTGTTGTGGGGAGGGGAAGGGAAAGGAGTTTGTAAGCCGCTCTGAGACACCTTTGGGTAGTGAAGGGCGGGGTATAAATCCAATCTCTTCTTTGTGTCATTTTTCTTTCCCTCCACTCCAGGCTTGTCCCCATTCCACACACAATTAAGCTGATATTGCCCTATGTGCTGAGCAGGAATAAGAGCTAAGCATCCGTCACCCTCTTCCTTTCCCTGAAGAAGAATGGGACTGGGGGAAGGGAGGCATGCAAACTCTTCATTCTAAGGAACCCCTCCAGCTTCTCAGTTTGCCATTTGAGAACAAAGGAGAGGGGGAAGTCAGGTTCCTCCTAGTCTCCTGATTCTGCTCCACAAACCAAATAGCTAACAAGAGCTGCCAGAACAACACCTTTGGCTGAAGACTCCAGATGCCATGCCATTCACACAGTTCAGAAGGTTGTGGGTGGGAAAGGATTAATCAGGCTAAGCAGGTACTTTGACATAGGTGCTTTTACAGACAGGAGAGCTAGGGTGCACAGCACAGGTTTCTGAGTAGCTGAAAAATAGCTCATTGTTAATGTGGTCTCTTTCCTGTGATAGTTTAATGCCTTTGAACTGGTGAACCTATTATAAATACCTAAAACTTACTCTTGAAATACCTAGAACTTAAGTTCATTCATTAGTTTGTCCACATGTTTCAGCATTTATGTTCTATATCTTCTATGTAAGGACTACACTGCTGGAAGTCATATTTGGCGCCCAATGCCATTGGTGGCATTTCCCTTACTTCGTCTATTACATATATACTTCCAGAAGAACAATACAAGAAAAGACACATGAAAATAAGATGCACCAGTTTCTGATAGACTTCCCTTGCAGGAGCTATGCAAAACTTATGATAACTTGCCTGCACGATGATGCTGATGCTCTTTTAGAGGAAGATCAGCATATTTGGTTATGGCAGCTTGTCACATAAATATGCTGGGGAAGAGTTATCAACAGGGATGCAGTTCCTGCCAATAGGAATGAATCTGCTGCCAAAAATGGCTTGAGTATGAGGCTTTAAATTTTAAAAAAGCCTGTATAAATGGTGAGTCATAAGAATAATTAGCCGAAAGTGCTTCAGTAATATCTGCACACAATATTTATTTCATTTAATTTGTATAAAACTGAAACTTGCAATGCTAAGCAGAGTTCTATGCCCAGTAACTTCTGTGGCATAGATCACTTACATTTCCTACATCAGTATTTTCCTTGGAACAAAGCCTAAAGGCTTCTGAATTATGCACCATCATTTACCTTTTCCAGGATAGGAAGCCATGACACCACAAGATGTAAGTTCTTTAAGCAAAGCCATTCTCCGTTTCGGGCACATTCTTTGAGAGTTTGTACAGCTAGGTCAGCTTGGCCCTGGCCCATGGCAACCTGTGAAACACAATATTTGTGATAAATCAAGGCAAAACAATTTTCTTTTGCAGATTCACTCAGATAGGGAATGCTAAAAAGTACGACACCGCAAAAATATCATAGATGGCACAAAAGGTCACCTGAACAGGACCTGACACTTATGTGGGAATCATTCTAGATCACATCAATCACAGTTAATGGAGATCAGATACTAGCTACGCTTATACCAAAGAAGACACCTAACGGATTAACAGTCATAAATATATTAAGAAAATGTATTATTTTCAGGTGTGCCTTCCACAGTTAACAGAACTAGCGGTGAGCAGATGAACAAAACCATTGGTGTTCATTGTATTACTGCATAGTTGACATGTCTCAACAGAACAACTTGAAGCTTCTGGGGTTGGGGTGTCTTGGGTTACTTCTGATGCAGTTACTCTTCACAAGTTGGCTTTCATCATATCAGATTCATATGTCTCTTTCATTGGAATGTTCTCTGCTAGTTACCAGGCTGAACTTAAGACAAAGCACATGACAACGATAATTCCTTCATGGATAATGAGCAAACAAATATAGGCTGCAGCCATCATGCTTTGCCCTTGTCCAAAATGCATTAAGTAGAGGGAGTCCATATGTTCTACAACAACGATTGCAAAATATTAGTTGAATTTTTTTGGACTGATGCACGTGAGAAACTTGCCTGATGGTAGCATTCCCCACTTCTTTCAGCACTTGCAAGTTCTTGCAGTTCTTGAGAAGGATCAGCACCAGGGGAAATAATAATCAGGATGGGTTCAATTTCTAAGGTTTCCTTGTACAGACGTTTCAAATTCAGCGGTGGAGGTGACAACTCTTTTATCCCTAGAAATGGGTGAAAATTTAAAAATAAACCTAATGCTACAAAACCTGCTAATGCATCTTGGGCAGCCATCTCTTCCTACCAGGCTGCCGTGGAGATTTGTTTTTGTTTTTTAAAGGATATAAATATTTTAATAAATAAATAAGTAAAAATCAGTGGGCTGAATACACTGAAGTGTGTCAGCTCCTTAAGCTCCTTGAATCTTTGACTCCGCTTCAAACACAGTATAAATCTTTGGTACATAAAACATCATGATATGTAAAATCATACTGCAAAATCAGACAGTAAACTACAACAGGATGGATGCTGTCATAGATATCGACCTTATTCTCTAGCTGATGCAGAAGCTGGCGATAAAAGTGCCTATGCTGGAAACATATTAGTTAAAAATACCATAATTCAATCGTGCACCTGCACATATAAAAAACAGAGCTTCAAGAGAGATCAATTTTGGAACCTTCAAGCACTAAAAATCAGACCGCCTCTAATGGCCAAATGATGAAAGGATGGTAAAACGTACACATGTACCTTATAAACCTCAGCAGCCCCCAAGTGTACACTAACAATGGCAAAAGCCTTCATAAAAAGATTCATGTTCAGCATTACAGGATAAGTACCACCACTGCCATACCATTTACTTGTCAATATTTTATGAAACCAAAGTTCCCTATGTAGTGTGTCTGAAGAGCATTTCCAGACTTCCCTGAAAGCACAGATAGCTCAACTTAGGTTCTTGTGAGTGATCTATGCCATCCTGAAAACTCAATGGAAATGACAAGAGTGAAATAGTGAGAAGGGCTGCCTCCTCTATATCAACAATGCCACATCAGGACTCAAAAAACAACCACCACCACCCTTGAACACAGACTCAAATTCATTACAAATGTAGCAGTCTTGCAAAAATTTCTAGCCTGATGCTCTGACTTGTGGGCATGAGAGGAGTCCTGATTGCAGATATAAATACTAACAAGTAAATGCAAGCAGAATATCAATATCTCACTAACTGCAATCAAACAGGTCCTCCGAAGGCTCAGTTTTATCTGATAGGGCAGCAGAAACCCAAGGGCCAAAACCCAAGGGACAAAGCTTGCTGGTTACCACGCAGTAATGGTACTAGAAATAAAACACTGGCCCAGAAAGTGGCAAAAGATATTCTGAGAAAGCAAGCACCGTTTCACATGCACCCAAGATGTTGGGAGAAAAATGCAAGAAGTCTCCTTCCTGAATTCTCTTTGGATATCACTGAGTTTTCTATGTGCAGGCAAAAATGCAGGAAAAATTCTGAAGGAGCTATTTTCCTTTTAATTTCAGTAGGGGTTGCACAGCAGAACTTCTTTTTAGATTATCCACTTCTGTTTCAAATCAAATGCTGTTATATTTTTGAAATAACTATAATAGAGTAGGTATTCTAGATATGTCTGCACCATTTTGAATACGAACCAAGCATATTAGGGGAAAACACAGGAAAATTTGCATTTTTAATACTGATGATAGGAATTAAGAGTTGGTAGAAACTAAAAGCAACAGTGTCAGTCAAATGGAAGGCACACACGGCAACGGGGGCTTCACATGTGCATGGAGACCTTTTTTCCCAGAGGAAAAACCCTGATGATCTGCTGTGGGGAAGAAAAGGCAAAGGGATGAATCCAGTCCCCCCCCCCCCCCCCCCCCCTCCCCCCAAGGTGTACCCTAGAATACACCCCAGAGTCTTGTGCTCATGTGAGTGTAGGTCCACTGAGGATTTGTCCCACGTCCCATTCCAGGGCCTGACATCTGAGGCGGGCAAGACCCCCCCCCCCCCCCCCCCCGCCCATTTGCCCCTTAATCAAACATCAGGTTTTTTGGTTCTTTTAAAAATATATATATTAAAAAACACTCTATGTGCACTCCTGGCCACTGGATCAAAGATCATACATAGTTGTGCACATGTAATTCCTCATCCAGCTCAGGATATTACTATATACTGTATTGCAAAAAGCATCAACTTACCCAGAGCTTTACAGGCAAAAAGAGCCATTGCACTCTGTAGTCTGTCTGGCCTGACAGCTTGGACCACAAGGACCTTCAAATAAATATAGTCAGAACAGACTTCAAACACTACTACTAAATGGTTAGCACAAAAAGACTTGCAAAAACATTTATCTGAAAAGGCCTAAAATAGTCTCAACAGGTGAAACGTAATGTGGAGGTACCAACTGGTTAAGATAAAGTTTCTTTCTGGACATGTTATGAGTACTGAAATACTAAAGAGGTCATTTCCAAGCATTAGAAAGAAGACACATACTTCAGTCTCTGAATATTTTTAATTTGTATTTGGTATATCTTCAAATTCCGGGTAACAGTCTAACAATAAAATCTAATGGATGCAACCCTACTTCAAAGTGTAATGCATTATTTATTTATTTCATTTCGTTATACTTCTATCCCACCCTCCCACACAAATGGGCTCAGGGCGGGTCACAACCAATTAAAACAGTTAAAATATAACTCCAATAGATCAAGTAAAATCAGAACACAATACCAGGACAACAAACATTCACAAAATGGCAATTTCCAGAAGTCCGGTTGAGTCCATATGTATATCAGATGGATCAAAGGTTAGGCAATAGATATTGACCACGCATAACATATCTCCATATGTGGGGAAAAGTGAGGTGGTGTGGGGGGGGGGGGCAGGGGAAGCCATTATGCAAGGACGTCCAGCGCCTCAACCAAAGGCCTGGTGGAATAGCTCAGTTTTGCAGGCTCTGCAGAATTGTAACAGATCCTACAGGGCCTGGATCTCACCTGGAAGAGTATTCTACCAGGCTGGGGCCAGGCTCAAAAAGCCCTCATCGAGGCTAAATGGACATCTTTGGGGCCGGGGACCACCAGAAGATGCTGCTGGTAGGAGCGCAAGGCTCTCTGGGGAACATGTGGGGAGAGTCGGTCCTGCAGATGTGATGTCTCCAGGCCACATAGGGCTTTAAAAGTTAGCAATAAGACCTTGAATCTGATTCAGTATGTAACTGAGTTAACATCCATTGATTTTAGCCAAAAGGTTTGAGCAACTGAGGACTAGATTACTGGAAATAAATGACCACACCCAGGATCCTATAGCACTCCCTCCCACTGTTATTCTAGCTCACCCAGACGCCTCTCATTTGGCACAAACATCAGCAAAATCTGTTAAGTTAATAGATGTACCCCTTAGTAACAATCAACCTGTCTTATATAAAGATTGTGTTTCTCCTTATCATCAAATAAACTCTCCGTGGAAGGGCCTTTTAATTGCTGTTTAGAGGATTATGAGATCAGTACAGTGGGCCCTCATCCCGTAGGCTCCACAGAGCTTTCTAATTTGACCTCAGTGCCCACATATAAAAATGGATTAATTTTAATGGATTCTAAAGAGATAGATAAAATAGAGATACCAAATTGACAATCAAGAGACCCAGAGTGAGCATTATTTGAAGTGTATTCCATGAAATGTGACTGGATGGTCAAATAAAATCCAGGATCCTACATTCTTACAGCTTATAAAATATGATATAATTCTTATTCAAGAGACCTGGTTAACATCAAAACTGACATTAAGTTGATTCCTCATTTACACACTCAATGCCACCACCACCCCAGCTACTAAAGGACATTATAGTGGGGGGCTGGCATGTCTGATTTCTACATCATTTAAGACCTTTAGCAATGGCTTGTCTCTTGACTTTTAAAGATCAGGTTATTTTGATAGTGAATGTATATATTCTGTTTTGGGTTTTTTGGCCACCCGGAGGGGATTTTTTATTGCATTTTTTAATAGACTACAAACTACAACGAAAAATTGGGAAGGGGTAACTACATCTAGGGAGAAAAAAAAGAAAACCACTAATAACTAAAACCCCAAGAATAGGAGATCATAACAGCAGCTTATATAAATGTTAATCTTAAATTGCTAGTATTACTTTGAACATAGTCGGTTATGCTAAATTATTTATCTTTTTATCCATTAACCGTTTAAGAGAACCCCCAGAGCATCCCATAATAAGACTAAAGTTTTAAGGCACAATTCAGAGTCCTTCAGCCTTCATTTTATTTTATTTATAATCCTCAATTTATATGTACATTTGGGGGCAGCCGCCCTCTTATCTGAAAGAGAGTCCGTGTCAGAAGTTTTAATTCTGGCACCCCTTGAAACCGGAGGACCAAATTTGCTTTCTCCATTTGCAGCTGTGAAAGTTGTGATTCTTCCGAAGCTTGTTTCTCTTCCAGCTTTTGCACCTTTTTCTTGACTTTTTTTAGTGTTGGTGTCCATTTCCTTCACCTTCTCAGCCGTTTGCTCCGTTATTTTTAAAGTCTCAGTCAGTTGGAGCTGCTGAGTTGCAAGGTTCTGGTTTAGAGTTGTCAGCTGTTGTTTGATGTTAGTCATCTGGTCCAGCAGAGGGCGCAAGGAATCTGCCAACATTTTGGAAAACTTAGTGACCTCTTCCAGTCGAGGGCTCATGTTCCCCGCTGGTTTCACTTTTGCTAGTTTGTCTTTCTCTGCCCTCTTCCCCGCCATCTTTATGGATTGTTTACTTTTATGAAAACTTGCTAAAGTCTCTGAAATTCACCCATACACTTATCCGCGCTCTGGTAAGTCTCTCAAAACAGATTTCAATGCTTTTTCTTCTGCTCCCCCCTTAGTATATCGTTTTTTAGTTCATGCGCATGGGAGGGGCCCCTCCCCCACTCGCTTTTCTCGCCGTTCCTGGGGGGTAGCCTTCTTTTAACATTCTCGTATTCACTTTAACACGACTCACTGTTCATTGTTGGTCATATGACCTCGCTCAGAACACGTTTAAAACGCTCAATCTCCGACGCTTGTCCCGGTCAGCAGCTCTAGATCCATACGGACACTCAGCGGTAGGACCGCCAGGGTGGAGGAGCGCTTCAATTCCCCAGCATCGCACTGTCAAAGAGGTTGCCCCTCAAAAGCCCCATGGCTAGGAGCCTTTTGCCAAGGCTCCGGGGGGTTGGCGACCCATCGCCCCACCTTCTATCTGCTGGTGCGCAGATCACATCCCCAGGAGATCCGGGAGATGCGTCCGCCAGCATGTCGCCATAAACCGGAAGTCCGCATGAATGTATATATTCCTCCCCACTCCTCATCCTTTTGTTATGAGAACTGTAGGCCTGACTTGGAAAATTACATCAATGAACTTGAAGTTAAATATCCCAAGGCACAAATAATATTGTTAGGTGATTTTAATGCTCACATTGGAAATAGTAATTTAAAGGTTAGGGGAAATACCTGTGATGGTGGATATTATAATGGTAAGAGGAACACAAAAGATTCTTTAGTTAATAAACATGGGATAATCTTTAACCAATTGATCAATAAGCTTGGCTTTGTAATACTAAATGGCAACTTTGATGGAGATAAATATGAAGAATTCACTTATAACTATAAGCATGCAAGTGTGATTGACTACATATTAATATCCCCATCTCTATGTAGACCACACCCAGGATCCTATACCACTCACTCCCACAGTTATTGTAGGTCATCCAGAGGCCTGCATTGGCTACCAGGGTCAGTTCCCCTGTGTTCAATGAGGCTTGCTCCCAAATAAGTGTGCACAGGACTGCAGGCCAAATTGTACAAGTACTGGGATTTCTGCAAGTTTTTATAAATCAAAAAACCCCCAATACAAAATTAACATAACCAGCACACCTGTATTCTGATTACCCCTTATATCAAACAGTTTGAGTAAGTCTCAAATCTGGTTTAATTAAATAGATAACTGAAGGCATTTAACAAAGATAACAATGTCTTTAAATAAAATGAACACATGATATATTCTTTAAAAAAACCTCTTAGGCACAGTGCCTGAATTAAAAAGGTATGTAAATTATTTAAACAGTGCCATCAACACTGAACACCCTATCCACAGGAGACAGCTCAAATTAAAATCCGATTAAAATTGGCAGTTTTTAATCCACAAATTGCATTGAATGAACTGCAATGCCATTGTAAGCAGAGTTACGCCCATATAAGTCAGTATACATCCATGTGTTTAGAAGGGTGTAACTCTTCTTAGGATGGAGCTGTGGATTTATTAATTCCAGTGTTCAATCAGTCAATACTTCCAGTCCAAGTCCTTTATTATATGGTAACCTGTTTTAACTGGCAACGGTTAATCATGCACCATTATTGCACAGCTAACCAAGGGAAACAGGCTACTGGTGCACAGGAGACTCTTAGCTTTCCCAAAAGACTATAAGGCAGAAGACAGACTGAAGGTAAAGTCTTTCTAGAGAATGAAATTGCCCTTCTTTTCTGCTTACCCTCTGCTCTTTCTCCTTCTACTGCAGCCTACATGGACATAATTGGTATCACTCACAAAAAAAGCTATTTATTTGTGAAATCTCAATGACTGGCACCTGCATGTTGAATCATGGAAATAAAATAATCTAACTGGGAAAGAATACTTATCCAGTAAAGTACAATAGTGTTATATAAGTCAGAGGATACAGACTGTAATATACAGTGCAATCCTAAACAGAGGCCTCCTAAACTCACTGATATTAATGGACGCAGAAGAGTGTGGCTCTCCTTAGGACTGCACTGATATAGTACATTTAAATTAAATTAAATAGAACTACTCTAGATGTAAATCTCCTGTGCTCAGAGCTGTACACAAAAAGAGACCACATGCGGGGGATGGGACAGGGACACACCATATACATGGACACATCTTCTGTGTGGAGGCACTGTGCTCATAAGCCAGTGATCACACAGAGCTGAGGCCAACATGATTGTGCGCACTCTCCTCTACGTGTTCAGTTAACACATGGAGGGGTTGTACGCACAGGGTTCTTGTGAGACAGGTTAGGCTAGGCTGAGAGTTAAGTGAATGGCCCCAAGTCATCCACTAAGATTCATGGTTGACATGGGGACTTGAAATTTGGACCCAAACCTGGGACTCTAAAGTCCCAGTCTGACACTCCCTGGCTTTATTTAAAATGTGTGACTTAGGTTGTTGCAGCTAATATTCTCCATTAGTTTCAATGAGACTTAGTCACAACGAAACATAAAACATGAAAACATACCTGCTGAAATAGAGAAATTCTGTTTGCGATAATGGATGGAAAATCTTGTTCACACATTGAGCTCCGTGAGAAAGGTTGCCACAGTGCTTCATCTTGAAAGCACACTGTTTGGTACAAGGTAGGGAGAGAGATCTGTGGAACAAGTGGTGTGCATTTGATATATAATGGGGGGAAGAATGTATTTTAATAATAAAGACAAATATAAATAGTCATTTAACTAATCTTTATAAGAATGTACAAAGAACCCTGCTAGATCAGACCAATGGTTTATTCAGTCTAGCATCCTGTTTCCCACAATGGTTTAACACATGTCCACGAGCAGGGGCACAGAGGACAAATTGTTGTTCCTCCAGAAACTGGCATTCAGGGGCACGCTGTCTCTGATCTTAGTTGCATTTAGCCATTCTCATCATAGGCATTGATAAACTTGTTTAAACCTCTTTTACAACCATCTAAGCTGGAGGCCACCAATACACCTTGTGGCAGTGGATTTCAAATATTATATACTAGGAGTAAGGCCCATTGTGGGAAGAAATACAAGAAGTTCTAGAAGGAAGCTCCAAGCAAGTGTCCTGGCTGTGGCTGGTAGGGCAGCAGACGGAAGGGGAAAATAGAGGGAGGCAAGCCATGTTTATTTCCTTCTGCTTAGCTATAAGGCAGGGCTGTCTCAAGTCATTTTGCTGCCCCAAGTGGGTAGTATGGGAGGACAGCCTCATGGCAACAGGTATGGTTCCCTCCACCCCGACTTATGTTAATTTGGGGTTATGCAGTGACAGCTAAGGTAGAAAAGCACCTCCTCCTATGCCATGTCTTCTGGGTTCCAAGGGTCTGAAAAGTGGTTCCATAGCCAGTTACAGGGTTGCCAACTCTGGGTTGGGAAATATCTGTAAATCTGAGGGGTAGAGCCTGGGGAGGGCAGGGTTTGGGGTGCGGAGGGACCTCAGCAGGGTATAATTCCATAGAGTCTATTGCCCAAAGCAGCCATTTTCCCCAGGAGAACAGATCTTGGAGATCTCCAGGTGCTGCCTAGAGGCTGGCAATACTAAGGGGAGGGAATGCATTTAAAGAGCCCACAGTCTCTTTAAATACCTTCCCTTCCTTTACTGAGGAAAGTTTAAATACTTTCCCTTCCCACCCTGAGTTGCGCCACAGTGGCGGCATGCCTCAGCAAGGAAAGGGAAGGTATAAATTCCCTCCGAGTTGTGCTGCAGTGGCGGCATGCCTCAGCAAGGGAAGGGAAAGCTTTAAATGCCTTCCCTTCTCTCATTGACATGTGCCCCCACTGCAGTACAACTCAGGGAGGGAAG